GATTTGTAGTGTCTACAAAGTGGTTCAGCTAAAAATACCTTCAGTTGGGCTTCCTTGGTGGCGCAGTGGTTGGGAGTCCGCCTGCCGATGCAGGGGACACGGGTTCGTGCCCCGGTCCGGGTAGATCCCACATGCCGCGGAGCGGCTAGGCCCGTGAGCCATGGCTGCTGAGCCTGCGCGTCCGGAGCCTGTGCTCCGCAACGGGAGAGGCCACAGCAGTGAGAGGCCCGCGTACCGCAAAAAAAAAACCTTCAGTTGTGTTGCTTTTTCCGTTGTATTTAGCTGATATACTAAATCTGATGAGATTAAATGCATCAATGAAACCAAGTGCTGGGAACCTTTAGTTCCCAAACTTTTTTTTTCCTTTTTTTGTTTCAGAAATGGATAGAATTTTACTTAGGTGCAGTATTCTCCATACATCTTCAGTATCTTTCTACCAAGGCAGTGAGTTTTGAGAAAGGCAATTAGGGGAAATTCCTTAGATGTAGGTATATTGAACTGTTCTATTCTTGCTTCTCTCCTGTCCTTCCAAAAAAAAAAAATACTTGGAGGAAGGATTCTTTTCTTTAATTCCTAGGGTTTATCCTGAGTTTGGTGACAATTTTTTTTACCCATGAAAGTCTTCTGACTTTTATAATATCCTAATGATGTCTTTAATTATATTAATTCTATCTTTATATGTATATCTCAAGGTAATTTCTGTGAATAATTGAAACTACAAAAATGATTTAAAAAACAATGGATAAGGACTTCCCTGGTGGCTCAGTGGTTGAGAATCCGCCTGCCAGTGCAGGGGACACAGGTACAAGACCTGGTCCGGGAAGATCCCACATGCTGTGGAGTAACTAAGCCCGTGTGCCACCACTACTGAGCCTGCGCTCTAGAGCCCGCGAGCCACAACTACTGAGCCCACAAGCCACAATTACTGATAACCGCCTGCCTAGAGCCCGTGCTCTGCAACAAGAGAAGCCACCGCAATGAGAAGCCCGCACACCGCAACAAGGAGGGGCCCCCACTCACCGCAACTAGAGAAAGCCTGCACGCAGCAGCGAAGACCCAATGCAGCCAAAAATAAATAAATTAAATTAAATTAAAAAGAATAGTGGATAAAGTTAACACCTCTTTTGTTGGGCAGACATGAAAAGGATTGATTCCATAAAAGTCAAAAATGAACATGAGCAGGAATTCCAGGAGATAAGCACAAAAGCTATTTTTCTCCCTATTGACTTTTCCCAAACACTGGAGACCTAGAACTTTCTCTCTTAATGGCTATACGGGGGTAGGAGATATAATTACATGTCTTCTTAGGCAGGCATTAGCTATAACAGGAGACTCCTGCATGAAACTCAAACCCCAAAAAACTACACCCTCAGTGAAAGGGTAAATGAGAAATCAACTTAGCAACCAAAAGGGGACAACAAAGAAACATGTCTTCACCTTGTCACAGATCTAAAAACAAAAGAGCTTGAGTCTTTCTAACTCCAAAACCAAGTCCAGCTATGCCAGCCTCCCTTCCCTAGAAGTCATTTTTCATCATTGTAAGAAAGTGGTTTGGGAGTTGAGAGGAACAGATTCACTCCTGGTCAGGATGGTCAGGAAATACTTCTTAGATATTTGAGCTGAACCTTGAAATAAATAAATATATGATTTCAACAAGCAGAGAATGAAGAAAAGATTCCAGATGCAGGGAACAGTGGAAGAAAAGGATACAGTCAGGGCCAGTAACAGTAAACAACCTACCATACTCACTAGTGCCATACAACTAAGTAGCAAGTACAAGTGTAGCAAGTACATTGTGCCACTACTTTCGGAACTCTGTTTAAAGGTTGGGCGTTTTTCACTTCTAGGAATACTTGTTGAAGCATTTGCTGGTTATTGACACTTTGAGGAATAATTTTATGAAAATATATTTGCAAGAGAGCTTTCCTTCTTTTCCTGCATGAATGTCTGTTATCCAGCTTCTTGATCATATTTGACACTGAAATTGAACTTCTTCTGGCCTCAAGTTTGGAAAAATGTAACTACCGTAACTTGTTCTTTTACTTACAATGTATTATCGTGTCAGTAAGTAGAGAGTCGTGTGTGCACAGCACTGACCTCAGTAGTAAGCGGTTATAGCAGATGCACCACAAGCCCTGCTCTTAAGGAATTGACAGATTAATGGAGGAGGAGGGAAATAAGGCTTATTAAAGAAGTAGAGGATTATAAAAATAATTTTATGAAGGAGAAGGAATTTGAGATATATGCCCAAGAACAGGGAGAGAGTGTTTCAGATGGTGGATGCAGTAAAAAAATAAAAGTATAAAGATTCCAACGTGAGATTGAACATGGGAATGGAAGTGAGAAATAAAAAACAATGAGCTTTGTAGATGACTAGGTGCATGTTGTGTGTGTGTGGGGGGGTGTATAGACGTGCATTTGTAAGTTTAGGTACCGGGGTGGAGATGGCATGTCCCCAAAAGCCACCTCACCACAAGTGGCCCATCGGCTTTAGGCATTTAATCAAGGCTGCAGTTTCCACAAGACCAAAATTGCAAAGAACTAACTTGCCAGCTATTTCAGCTGATTGTGCTACTGCCAACCATCCTTTCTTTTGCCCTCTGAAATGAGAGGCTCACGTCTCTGTTCATGACCCTGTAGCAAACTGGGGTCATCTCTCACCCATTTCCAGGCTAATGAAGATTATATGCACTGTCATTGACTTGTTCAGTCAAATACAGTGAGCTGTCGTGTTTATTTTACTTGTGTTTTAATTTTGTGGCTCTTGGCAGTTGGACATTCATTTAGTAAGTGTTGAGTCTTGGCTAAAAGCTGAGTACTAAAGATAGGATTAATTCATTCAACAAAATATTCGTAGTGGCCCTACTTTGTATCGGGCACGGTACTTGGTACTGACTCTCCCGGGAGTGAATAAAAGAAAAATATCCCTGTACCCATGCAGCTTATGGTCTTATGGGGGAGAGTGAAATTTAAGAAACAAGTACACATTAAAATGCTATTGCCATTGTGATCAGTACTGTTAAGTCAGCAGTCCCCAACCTTTTCGGCACCAGGGACCAGTTTCGTGGAAGACGTTTTTTCCACGGGGTAGTGGGGGATTGTTCAGGTGGAAATGAGAGCGACGGGCGCGGCGGATGCTGAAGCTCCGCTCGCGCGCCCACTGCCCTCCTTCTGTGCGGCCCGGGTCCTAACAGGCCGTGGACCGCTACCGGTCCACAGCCCGGGGGTTGGGGACCCCTGCTGTAAATGAAAGAACGCTAAAGGAGAGAGTAAAGGGAAGCCTGCCTTCCATTAGGCTGTTAGGGAAGGCCTCAGAAAAAGTGATACTTGTGCTGAAGTCTGAAAGATGAAGAGGATTTAGCCAGAGCTTAGACAGGTGGGAGTGAGAGGTGGGAGCTGGGCAGAGAAGAGGCCTTGCTGAGGACCTGAAGAAGGAAAGAGCTAATGAATAAATGGATGAGAAGGACATGGTCCCTGTTCTCTTAAATTGTGTTAAAGTGATGGATTTATAAACAAAAATATTTACGTTACATTGTGACAGGTATGATAATCGTGGTTTGGGTAAGTGCTAACTTAGTTTGTTGAAATCATGCACTCTGGGAAGGCTTTTTCAAATAGTAGATTTTTAAGCTAGGCCTTAAGGATAAATAGGTATTTATAGGAGTATAGGAAGAAGGTCTTTATTACAGTAAATGGGTTCAGAAAAAAATGCCTATAAGTTCTTGATGTTACTGATTGGGGGGAGGGGGACAGCTATAATATATGTATTGTAAATTATTTCTAAAATCTTAAGCCCAGTGAATATACATAATTGAAATAAAAAGCAGGAATGATCATATTCAGAAAATTGTAGATTTTGAGTTTTGTCTATTTTATAACATTTTAATATGGTAAATACGCTGTTTCGTTATCCTGTCTTAAAGTTTGGCATATATATAAGCCAGATTTCGAAAGACTGATTTTTTTCCCCTAGGTATTTATTGTTTTTTTAATTATTGCGAAAAATGCAAACATAGGAAAATTGAAGAGTGTAAGGAATTGCCATATGCCTGTCACCTAAACGTAACATTTTTCAGTTGCTTCATTTTTTAACTGAAATGTCTTAAAAACATGGCATTTTCCCCCAAACACATAAATATGCATTTCTGAAAAATAAGGACATTTTCCTACATAACCATAAAACCATCATCAGGCATAAAAAAACTAACAGTAAGCCCTTAATATTACCTAAACCAGTCCTTGTGCAGGTTCCCCCAGTTATCCCCAACGAGGTTCACGTAATCTATTTGGTTGAATCATGTCTGTCTCTTTGCTCTCTTAATCTAGAATAGTTCCCTCCACCCATCCAACCTTTTATTTTTCTTATACTACATTTTCTTGTTGAAAACAGGGGACCATTGACTGTTTACTGTCCCACCTTTTGAATTTGTCTGAATAATGTCCTCTTTCCCTGGATTTTCTGTAAGCTGAATTAGGTCTAAAAACTTGATTGTATTTAGATTACTGTTCACACTTGAATAACTCAGGGGTTAGGGGCGCCAGCTTTCCACGCAGTCAGAAATCCACATGTAACTTTTGGTTGAGCCTCCATATGCTGGGTTTCTCTGTATCCAGGACTCTGCACCCACAGATTCAACCAACTGCAGATCGTGTAGTACTCTAGTATTTATTTACTCTTGGAAGAAATCTGCATTATAAGTGGACCTGCACAGTTCAAACCTGTGTTGTTCAAGGGTCAACTGTATATATTTAACCTTTTTGAAGTATAAAGAAGTGCAATAAAAAGGTCCCATACTTTGGCTTCCAGTATAACTTCTGTTCCTGCTTACCCTCCTCCTTCCCTCCCTTCCTTTCTCCACATATGAGAACATAGTTAGAAAATCCGAATAGTACAGAAAGACACAAAACAAATTGAAAGCTTCTCTCCACTTTTCCCCAAAGTCAACCACTGATGATATTTTTCTTTCCATATGAAAATGTGCATTTACCAACATGCTTCAGTGTGGAAGCTTGACTTGTTTTTTAAGTACATCAAAGGTGACTTTAAAAACAACCTTTGGATTAAACTGACTCATCCACAGCTTTCTAGATAATGTTCCATTATTGAATTTCTAAAAGCATGTCTTTTAAATGTCATTCTAAAATGGTTCAAGCTAGTATTTCCATTTTTTTATTATTAAACTACACAATTCGGTTTCTTCGCTTAGAGACTCCTCCACACAGACAGCCAAGGAAGCCGATGAGTATCTGACTGAGCCCAAACAGGGTCTCAAGAATGCCCACAAGCAGTAGACCTAAAAATACTGAGAAATGGATAATCCTATGCTTGTTTTCCATAGAATTGAAGTGTAAGCTGTATGTTCTCCAGTTACTGGCTGTTGTGTTGTTGTTGGAGGGATTATTGAAATCCGTAGGAGAAACACAAGAGTCGTCAAAGAACCACTGCAGATTGAAGGATTCTGGATGAATGGCACTGGACAAAATGAAAGAAATGATAAAGATAAGATATTCAGGAATACCACTGACCGTCTAAAGAATGCAGCATTGTGCCTAGAAAAGGACATGTATGGTAAAACAGAAAGTGCTTTTGTAACATCGTGCCCAGAAACTATAGCTAAGATGAGGGTTTCTGAGCATGTGCCGTTGTACTCTTAACAGTTGTAAAACGTTGACATCGTATATCCCATCACTCAACAAGCATCTACAGAGGATCTACTCTTAGATTGAACTGTATGAAATTTTCTATGTCAGAAAGGGTTGAATATTAAGTTTCCTGTGGTCGCACCTATTCGTGCAGGCACTCTTCTACTGGCTAAAGAAACTAAAACAAGCTCCCCCGTTCAAGGAGCTCAGTTCTTAGTGCAAAACTGGTGTGTTGCGTCTGTTCTTAAACCCGATGTACAATGTTTACTCACAAAAGGCATTTCAAATATGTCTGGTTAAAACCTTGTTGTAACAAGGTATGGAGAATGAGAAACTTTTAGCCCTAACACATCTGTCCTGACATGATTTATCTTTGGTTTTCTACAGTAGGACTAAGTGTTCTTAGAGAGTTTGCATTTCTGCATACCAGCAACTGATGTGCAGCCTGGGAAGAACAACAGCATGTCAGCACGTGGAATATGAGTATGCTCATTGCAGTTTGCAGCGAGCGTAGGGTCACTCTTCTGTAATTGTTTACTCTCCGTAACTGTCTGTCTCCCCAACTAGAGTGGGAATACCTTGATGCTGTGACCTCCAGCTTGGCCTGGCGCCTGGTACATGGTGAGTAGCCATGCGCTGAGGACTGAATGTGTATAGCATGTGTGGTTGAAATCTCTAATTTTCTACTCCAGCTCTACTAGTAAAGGGAGTTTCTTTGGATTTTGATCCACAACAGCTGTGGTATGCAAATTTTGAGAGATTTTTCTTTTTTAATGCAGCGAGATAAGGAAAAAGGGGAAAAAAATTTTCATGTAACTACAAAAGTGAATTCTAGTTTTTTTCCATACTGAACAATATATAGGTAACGAATGAATTAGGTTGTTCTTTTCTTCCAGTTTTACAAATTGTGCCTAGATTCAGGCCCAGAACCATCTTACAAGACTGAAATGAGCCATTTCCATGTAACTCTTCAGCATTATTTGTTACTCTGTGAGTTAAACTTTTGATTCATTGTCATGCTGACTGTGTTTCTATTATGTTTGCATGATTCCATTGGCTGCTGCTTTGTTTCTTTCTTAAGGCTTATAGGTAAGCCTCTAGATTTTTTTTTTACTTACTGTGTTTTTATTCAGTTTATCAAATTATAAAGGTAATATATGCTTAGGGCTTACAATTTTTTAAAATATTTATTTATTTATTTTGGCTGCGCCAGGTCTTAGCTGCGGTGCACAGGATCTTCCTTGTGGCACGTGGGATCTTTAGTCGCGGCATGCAGACTTCTTAGTTGGGACATGCATGAGGGATCTAGTTCCCCGACCAGGGATCAAACCCGGGCCCCCAGCCCTGGGAGCGCAGAGTCTTACCCACTGGACCACCAGGGAAGTCCCAGGGTCTACAGATTAAATTAGATCAGAAGTGGAGAAAGTCAGTGCTCCCTTCCTTCCCCCAGGGCATCCTCCATTAGCATTCTCCAAAGATGAAAGTTAAGTTTTTGGTGTATATTTCCAGAACTTTTTAATATACATGCACATATGCAGCTGTAGATTTTTAAAGGACAAGGATAATCCATCTAAGTCAACTACTCCTTTTAGACGAGACCATACCCAAAGCACTCTGAATGCAGTGATTCCTCCATTTCTCTGCGATTGGGCCAATTGGGATTAATGTGCTAAATACCTAAGAATCTGTCCCACGCCAGATAACATGGCACTGGGTCAGCACCACACTATCCTAACCTAACTAGCTGCAACTGTGTAAGACGGCAAAAGGTTACTCACGTTAAGTTTTCAAATGAAAGTTCACAACTGGAAGTTCTGTTGCCTTGAGAGTTACAAATGAGAGGGCCCTCCGCGAGAGCCTGGATGGACACCGTCAGGCAGTATGCAGCTCCAGTGACTGTGATCACATTCAGAAGTGATGAAAGAAACATCTGAAAAATAAAGTAGGCACATTTGCACATGTTGTTACATGTTGCCTGTCTGTTTCTAGTTTCAGCAGCACATGCAGTCTTTATCATCAGCTGCTGCCATTCTGCTGACACCTTCCAGTCCTAGATCTCAAGATCACAGTTTGATTAGGTGTGACTTACACAAGAAGGCAGAGGGCAGAGTGCCTGCCATTTCATTAGACTTGCTAAAAGATCATTGGTCTTGCCACTGTTTCTGAAAAACCTGAACTCTTATGCTCTACGTGAACCTTGTCCATTTCAACGGACCACTACAGTGTGTCAGGAACAAAGATAGACTGTAAATAACTAGCAAAGTAACTATAATCCTATATGAATACCAAATGTCAGGAAAAGGTAATTTAAAAAATAAATAAACCAAACTCATGGCTATAAATATGTACCCTTTTAAACAGTGGCTCTCACCCCTGGGAGCACATGAGAATCACACAAGGTGCTTTTGAAAGATACTAATGCAGAATCTCAGGGGGGCCACCAGGCATTGGTATTTTTAAGATTTTCCGCAGGTGATTCTAATGTTCCCATCAGGCTGAGAACCATTGCTTTAAAACCTCAAGCTCAGTCAGGAATATTTACTGTGATTTCTTATTTATTGATCTACCTGCTTCCTTAAAGAATTATGAGAGCCCTCAGTGTTACTTCGTAACAATGTTCATGGCATAAATAGTATGATGACTGGGAATTTTGGAGTCTGATGGATTTGGATACAAACCTACCTAATAACTGTGCTACACTGCAGGTTATATGCTTTCTCTGAGGATCAGTTGCTCAGTAAAACAGATCATAAAACGTATGGGTTTTCAGAAAAATAAGATAGCGTATTTGAAAATGTTCTGAGTATAGTGAGAGAAGGTTAATAAATATTAATTTCCTTTACTTTTAACATAGTTACAATTTTATACATACCAAATGTTTGAAAAAATAAGTGTTGTCTCCTTTAACTTAACTGGATAAGGACAATTAACATTCTGCTCCTAGTAAACCAGTCTTTCACATGCATAAGAGAACTGAGGATACTTTTTCCCTAAGTATTTTATACACACCACAAAAGTAACAAGTATTTGAGTATTATGAAATTGATTACAGCCCTGAGTGCAGACATAAATCTCCTTTCTTTGAAAACTTTTAGACTGAAACCGAAGATTGAGGAGAGGTCTGAAAGCTCGCTCCAAAACCAAATTTTTATGGGAAAACAAAAAGACAAACTTCACACTTTCAGCATTATCATATAAATTATTCTAAATAACATGTTTCTAGGACCAGCCCTGCCACTGGAGCCACACGGTGATTCAGGAGATGCTGACGCCTCGGCGGCTTTGCTGAGATGCCGGTAACTGCTTATGCACCAGACCAGCTGTGCTGTGCTCACCCCGGTTTTGTTATTGCAGCATGCTCTTTTCCTCGCTGCTAAGGACATCGTTGTTGCTGGAATGACCTGGAAATTACATCAACAGGAACAAAGAATATTATTACTTCTCATCAGATGATAAAGCAATAATCTTCACTTTCTACTTGCCAGCAGTTGTGGGAAGCCAAGAGGCTTAAGAGAATAAAAAGGAGATGTGACAATGTCCTTGATCTTGTGACCCTTAACGATCCCCATTTGGACCATAAAGATTAAAAAGGGGGAAAGGATGGGGGATTTCAGTATAGCAATTTAAAACTTCCGTCTGCATTTTTACTTTGAGTCATTAGAGAGACTTGGATTTTAAATAAAGTTATTTATTCATTATTTTGGAGGAATGTTTCTGAAAGAATGGTTGCATCATCCAAAATTCACTTTTTTTTTTTTTTTTTTTACTATAATCTGCAACCACTTACCCAATTTCCCCAAAATAGTGTGAATTAATCTGGCAAGGATTCAGAAAGGAACTCGATGGTTTTGTCTGCCTGGTAGTTGGGAACTAAGAATTCTGTCACTACCCTTCTCCCACTTCCCTAACTTTCCTCTCACTCCCAGGGTCACCACCAGCTCAGTAGTTCCCCAAACTTATGATTTGAGAATTACTTTTAGTTCTACATTCTCCTTTCTACTCCTGTATCCATGGTATGGAATGATCTCACTTCACACTGATGTTTAGAAATCTTGTATTACATTCTGTGTCAAGGGAACACATATTGCTGGGGAAAGCTGTAAGAAATGATGCCATGTTCACAGGCCTTAGGTTAAAATTTCTACTAATAACTAGTCAGCAGCTATAACTAGAAATTCTTCATGAAAGAAGTTTTGTATCATTGAAGGGTTGAATGTCGATTACTTCCTTACACTTAAAATATTTTAGCCATAAGTTTTTTGTCGTCTCAGCACAGCTGCCCTTGAGTAGTTCTCTCTCTCTCCTTCCACTCTTGTTTTCTAACATTTTACTGAGTTCTAACAACATACCAGGCACTGTTATAGGTGCTATACGTGTTTTAGTTCATTCACAGCCTCGTAAAAATCCTATGAGGTAGGGCTTCCCTGGTGGCGCAGTGGTTGAGAGTCTGCCTGCTGATGCAGGGGACACGGGTTCGTGCCCCGATCCGGGAAGATCCCACGTGCCGCCTAGCGGCTGGACCTGTGAGCCATGGCAGCTGAGCCTGCGCGTCCGGAGCCTGTGCTCCGCAACGGGAGGGGCCCCAGCAGTGAGAGGCCCGTGTACCACAAAAAAAAATCCTATGAGGTAGGTGCCAATTATCCCCATTTTACTGGGTCGGAAAACTGAGGCACAGAAAGCTTGAGTAACTTGCCTAAGAAAGTGGAAGAGTTGGGAGTCACAGTTGCGCATTAGGGTTCCAGAGCCCAGACTCAACCACTATTCCAGTCACACTGGCCGATTCTAGCAATTCTCTGTTCCTCCTTAGAGCTTGCACATTCTCATCTTCCCCACCACCATCACCCCCTCACTCATCTCATTGTCCTCCTCCTAATTGCTCCTTCCCCAATCCATTTTTCCAAGACCATGTCCACCTTTGTCCTTTCAGAGCAGGTCTCGGATTGAACAGCCTTACAAGGCAGCTTTCCTGACAGACTTCACCCCACTCTGACCATGTGCTGACTCCGTGTCACATATGGAAAACACTGTATTGTTATCAAGCTTTGCTTGCATACTGCCTTGACCACCAACACTCTTATAATTCAAAGGGCACGTGTATGTATGGCAGCCTAGCCATTCAAGGCATAGCTGAGAGCCCAGAAGAAAAGGGAAAAGAAATGTATGTACCCAAATAGGTGTCAGTGTTCATGGGCTAAATTTCTTTTGTTGTACTTAGAAGTGATACTGCCTTCTGAGCTTAAGGAACAAATCATTTAGAACAGGAACTGGCAAACTGGCCCACTGCCTCTTTTTTATAAACTTTTATGAAAACAGACATGCCCATTCGCTTACTTATTATCCATGCTGCTTTGGCGCACCAGCAGTAGAGTTGAATTATTGTGAGAGAGACTGGCTCACAGAGGCTAAAATATTCACTACCTGGCTTTTCGCAGAAAAAAACGTGTTAACCCCTGATTTAGAAAATTAATCTGTTAAAAGAAAGAGCAACATTAAATTATAATTAAAATGGATAAATCATTCCATTTTCCTTATTGATGTAAATTAAACTCTGCTAACTTTCTTGAAGGTTAATTTATTTCAGAGATGCTGAAAGAGATACTTTCATAGTTCCCTTCTCTTGCAAAGGAATTTTATAAAGTAATAATAGCTTATGTATGAATCCTCACCTGGTTGACTTCATGGCATGTTGACACATCTTTGTTACATCATGGGTAACTTGATAACTCTGTGTTTCAACCATTTTGCTTATTCAGAGCTTTGGAAATTAGAGGGGCTCTTTATAGGATGAACATTAAAATGTGAAAGTGTGTGTGTGTGTATGTGACTGAATTATAAGTCTTCCAGATAATCTCCTGCACAAATAAGTAATCTTGAGAATAATCTTTCTCTTCAATTCCTAAGCACATTTGAATGCATGAGTTTTTGTGAAACTTTTTCTTGATAGTCGTTTGTTTTTATAAAGAAAAGAAGTAGCACTGTTTATTTTTCCTTACAGAAATCCATATTTTCATCCAGTTTTAGAAATAAGGCATATGATTTCATAAGTGAAGTACAGAAGAGCTTTAGACCATTACAACTCTAATAGAATTCAAACTTTCAGGGTTCCTCTAAGTACTTGAACATGAAAGTAACAAACAAAACAATGGCTCATTATATAAAATCTATTTTGAAAATTTTTGTTAGACATAATATTTTCTAATGTAACGTTCAACAATTTCTTCTCTGTTAAGATTTTAATAATTGGTGAATTATTACACAATAAGTGAACTCAGTAAATAGGCATGATTAAGATTAGGCTTACAATTAATCTATAAAATAAAATGGTCTTTATTTTTTAGAGGAAACATTTCAAGGAAACGTTTCAAGTCGTTTTTTCAGGACTTGGAAAAAGAATGTGTATTGATTTTTCCATTTAGCAGATAATAGGTGAAGGTAATTACGTAACATTTTTACTCTTAGTTATGGTTTCAAAGATGACAAGGTTCACCTCTGTTTTGGGTAAATCATAAAACCATAAAATGACTATTTTATGGAGTAATCGATAATGAATTCCATAGTTTTTATTATTGACTACTTCCTGCAAAATTCCCTGCTTTTGAAACAATTCTAATTTAAAATGCTACAGATTAGAAAGATTTCAAGAACTATGACTAAAGTGCTTATCACGACAGTGATTTCTTCATTAACTTTGTGTATTTACAAGTATATTGAGAGTTCAATGTTTTGAACTAAGTCAGTATTTTGATAGATGTAAAGGACACAATTCCCTTTGAAAAAAGATATTCTTCCACATTCTATATATAGCCAAGGATCAAGAAAATAACCTTTCTATCACCCACTTATTTGCTTGTGAGCCTAGTCTAGAGTTTGAGGCTCTAGCTATAAAATGTCTATTGAACTTTTCAAAGAGTTGTTTGATACTTTGAAGATATTCCACAATACCGAGTAATAGTAAGAGCCTGGCGTGATCCCAGCACATTGTTAATATTTATTGAGGTGATAAAGCAAACTTAATCCTGGAACAAGAAAAGTCCAGGGCTTCCCTGGTGGCGCAGTGGTTGAGAGTCCGCCTGCCGATGCAGGGGACACGGGTTCATGCCCCGGGCCGGAGCCTGTGCTCCGCAACAGGAGAGACCACAACAGTAAGAGGCCTGCGTACTGCAAAAAAAAAAAAAAAAGTCCAGATTCTCTGAAACGATTTCATATTTATATAATTTTTCTATCTTCAGTTTCCTGGTCACTTAAGTTTATGGGTTAAGTTATAGATCTTGTCTTTCCCCTTTGGCAGCCTGAGACAGGTGATGAGGATTATGTTGCTAATACTGGTGGAAAACAGAACTTTGGAGTCAGATAAATCTGGAATTGGGTTTCACACCTACTATGTGACCTTGTTAACATTCTTAACCTTCTGTTTGCTGGTCTGTTAAAATACAAATGTTAATAACTACTCAACCAAATTATTATAGCATTTAAATAAGATAGTGTAATGTATGAACCCAGTGGTTAGCACTTAACAGTGGTCTCTCTTTCATATATAATGACCTACAAGTGTTTTCATGTTAAGTCTGGAGATAAGACTAGAATAAGACTAGAAGCAATAACTGATCATCATTGTAACACACATACACACACACACATACATCCAAGCAAAGGCGCATTTCTCTGGCATTAACGAGACCACAAGTGGGTGTTATAGCACCCAAGTGGTATAACAAAAACAAGGCTCTTGAATGCTGAATTTTCAAACTTCAATTACATCCCCATTTGACTGATATGGAAACAAAATCACAGGATAAATGATTTGCTAACGGTAGTATATTGGAGAATATACAACCAGAATATCTCAAATCTACGTGTATTACAAGTGCCTCGGGTGACTTATGATCAGGTACCTTGGGGAGTTCTATCTTACACTGCTCTGCTACGGATTTCAACAAAGATAGCCCTGTTAAAAATGATCGAACATTAAACAAGCACCATGATGTACGGGTTGTAAAAGATCTGAGTCAAAACATCCCTGAGGTCAGAAAGCCAGGGTTTCAAGTCCCAAACCTCTTGGGCCAACTCCCCTCGGTGCAGGCCATGCCATGTTCGTGCCTCACAGTCATCATCCAGGAGACTCATCGGGCATGGAATGTTCTTGCCCTTCCTCTTGAGCACTTCTCGCTTTTGCTGTATTCCCTGTGAATACTCAGAGCTGGTTTTGGCAAAGGAAAGCTGAGGGAATAAATTCAAAAAGTCCCGAACACTAACTATGAAGCTTGGAAGAGCAGCCTTATATGCGAAGAAGTATGATACGTAATTACCCAACCAATTTTTATCAATATCTTATTTTTTGCCCAAGCTCCCTAGCCTGTACCACAGTTCATTTAAATTGTTGTTCTTCACTGATGCCAATATAAATTAATACCGTACTCACTGATCCTCACTATATCCTAAGCCAAGACATAGCTCACGGCAAGGCTGCAGGATGGTCTTTAGACCGTGTTCAGTAAAATAGCTCCAAATCAAGTCAAATAAATTTCACTCACCATCAGACCTGCTCCAATAATCCCAGGGAACAACCATTCAAAGCAAGAGATGGGGTTTTTAAAAGTTTGGTCTTCCTCCACTAAGTTGACAATTAGAGGTATTGCATTGAGAGTTACTCCGAAAAGAAGTAGAACCAGCAGGCTGAATCCATTGCAGGCTGTCCATC